TCATCACCTGTGACAATTCTCTCCAAAAATGGTTCACATGATGTACGTTTTTGGGGGGTTGGTTAACGAAAATGTTCCAATCCGCGACATTAATTTCTTGACGACCTAATACACACTTTTTATTTTTAAACAACTGAGTGTTATAAACTAAGCCTACTTCTGGTTTAATAATGGTCTATTGTCAGGGCAAGCTGCTTTTGAATGCCGAAAGGCCTTTTATATAACCCATAATTTTTCACATAACGTATATATATATATATATATATGGATGTTTTTGTGTATGAAAACTTACGAATAACAATATCAGATGTGCAATTTACGAAGCAAAGCGAAGCCAGAATAAAGGGACAAAAGTGACTTAAGTGATTTATTTACAAGTGTCAAATTGATTCCTCAGAGAATCACTGTTCTTGCCTTATTTATCTACTTTTCAGCAAAGTCAACGAACTTTCATTGCCACAAGGATATTTTTTTTCATCTATAAATTATAAAATTCATATGCCGGTAAGTTTCGAAAACAAAATGAATTAAAAATGGGAATTTAAAATTTAATGTATTCCACGAGAGTGAATGACGGCACGGAGTAAACCTATTTACATGAGAGGCACAAGAAATGCATAGCAGATAGACAGTACAATATATTTAAGCATGCTTCTATTATAACCTCCTTAAGCTCAAATTATAGCCCTTTGATATTTTTCACCATTTTTCATACATTGAACGAAGCGCAGAACGTTTTGTTTAAATATTTACTACAATATAATTTAACTTCACGTCAATTCACTTTTCAATTTTCAATATAGCGGATTTCTAAGTAACTCTCATGCCAACTAATCTTTTATTTTTCTGTAGAACGTTTCAAGAAACGCGAAATATGATCTTGTTCAGAAACTAAACGATGATATATTCAGTGATGTATAAATATTAGCAGAATGTACATAAACCTATAAAAACAGGAATATAAATGAACGAGAAAACACAAAAAAGTGTTAAATTTTTGATAAGTTAAATATTAAAAAAATATAAAATATAAAAGCAGCAGCATTGGTCAATATATGTGAGTAAGTACAATATAGACCTTTTCCTTACGAAAGTACAATATATTTTACTTACTTCAACAATAAGCTGTAACGAAAAGCTTAAAATATTTAAACTTAATTTCACCGAAATATTCATTAAACAGGTCAGGAGTAATTTTGAAGTTTATCGATAGGCGTTAGAATTTCAAGTAGTTAGTTTAAAAAAATTCAACTTTATCGATACTTGAGTATGATTCTAAGATAAAATAATATAATATAGCTCAGAATAATACTCGCAAAACGTGTTAGTTTTTTGTATTGTCATTAGGGAACAAAACAATCGTTAGAAGGAGTTACGTAAGAAGTTTTAAAAGCAGCAAACAAATTAGAAAAATAGCGTCTATTCTCCATGTGCTAAAATGAAATTCCTTCAAAAAAAATATTTTAAAAATCATATTGTGTGAACAGGTGTTAATATCACAAAAAGCCGTGTTTTTCAAAGCAATACAAATCAAAAACATGTTTTTTGAATTATAGGACTTTTTTAATTTGAAAATAAAAAGTAGATAAATATCCTTAAAACAAAGTGAATGGAGGGATGACAATCCAGATGTTAATGATGATGATATTCTCAAGCTTTCATCTCATATTATCATGAAAGGGAAGGACAAGATCCCCTGACAAATTAGAGACGGTAAGTTAAATAATTGTGAACATTAATTAACGTATTTAACGACTTAGGGAATTTTTTCGTGAAGTAGACGTCGTATTGTTATTTTCTAAATATTTTCTTGTGGCAAGATTTAAAAGAGATCGAGTTGTTGTAGTATACACATTTGATGATTAGTTTTTGATTTATCAAAATGTACGTTTTATTATTTCGATGTAACGTCTGAATGACTTGAACATGAATCACGAGAATGTACCTGCAGTTCCTGTATTTGACATTATAGAAATCTTAAGACAGAGTTTATTTATGCATTAAAGCTAGTATTCAAAGATAGCGTTGTTCAAATAATTACTTTGGCGTTTAGTTAGTGAACGTGAGGGAATTTAGTATATAGATGTTGCCACTGAAGCTTACTTTAGAAATGAGATCTAAAGTTAGCATGTAAACTTTATCAGAAGTAAATAAAACTTGACTGGCTACAAACAAATACAATATCTTACTAAAGTCAGACTTTAAGCTACAAACAAATACAATATCTTACTAAAGTCAGACTTTAAGCTACAAACAAATACAATATCTTACTAAAGTCAGACTTTAAGCTACAAACAAATACAATATCTTACTAGTCAGACTTTAAGCTACAAACAAATACAATATTTTACTAAAGTCAGACTTTAAGCTACAAACAAATACAATTTTTACTAAAGTCAGACTTTAAGCTACAAACAAATACAATATTTTACTAAAGTCAGACTTTATGATTTGTATTTTACTAAACGCAACACCATAAGTTGTATAGTTTTAACATATCCATCTAAGTGCCATAAATATGCTTCCTGATGACTCAGTGGTAAGTCTGAGGATTTTTAACGCTAAAAATTAGAGTTCTACACCAGCGGTTGGCACAGCAGAGATAGCCCATTGTGTAGTTCTGCGTTTAACAGCAAACTAACTAAAAAATAAAAATATTAAATATATCGGAAAAACATGTTTTTTCTTTGTTTTTTTCTATAGGGTTAACGTTAGATGAGTATAATTTTCGTATGTCTAATAAATACTTATCTTCCAGCACAACAAAATGTTGAAAAAATTCAAATAAGATATATGAAGTGCTATAACATCCGTCATATTTCAGAAGTCTAAGGATGAATGACATAGACATTTAAATGTGGCACCAATGTAATGTCTGATATAATTGGAAACGGAATAGGTTGCAAGAGTCCTGCCGCAGATTATCGAATTAATATAAATGCGAGTTTATCTAAATGGTGTCAACTACTTAAAATATATCATGACTAGAAGTATGGCTTCTCCCGCCTATCGGTGGCTCAGCAGTAAATCCGTTGCCTTATAACGCTAAAAATCGCCCATGGTTGACACATTACAAATAGCCCATTGGATAACTTCACTCAATAACTCTAAAAACTCCGGATAAGTAACAACCGTGAAAATTAACAACAAATAATTTGAAGTTTGTCCCATTATATTGAAGATGCAGGTACCACAAATCTGGAGATATAATGTTATTTGTTTGTTTTTCATCATTAAAGACCATTACTAACAAATATTCTAGCTGAGCGAGCAATACTTTAGAAGGTGAGACGTAGAGTTGATGTCTCTAGACCTTAACATAAACGGGAGAAGAGTTGGGGCATTCAAAGAGGGGCGATACTTTAGCATTTAAAGCGTAGAGTTGATGTCTCTAGATCTTAACATATACGAGAGAAGAGTTGAAGCATTCATAGGGCAAGGGGGTTTGGAAATGCTTTATACACACTAGGACATCCAGTTTAAACTAAAATAAATTAGAATAATATCCTAATTTGATTCAATTTTAGATCTGTAAGTTTTTTTTTTTTGTAGGTTGGTTTAACTGGCAGGAAATCAAAGTATTTAAGTGTAATGTAATATGTATAAGCCACTTAGAATAATATATTATCGCTTTAAACAACGTTTAATGGTTCAATTCTCTCTACCTTATAACAACTTCCATTAACTGGTTGTTTTTATTGAATTGTATTCTAACGCTGTCATTAATTTGAAGCACGTTTGTTTTGAAGCTACTAAGTTACTTAGGTTGCCTATATAGAAATTAGTTTTAGTGATAAATGTATTGCGCGGTATAAATTCTGGAGGTTCGAGATATCAAAATATAAAATGTTTAAAGTTATTCCTACTTCTCGTAGAACGTCGAGCGTGAAATTCTGCAAATTTCCAACACAACACAACAGAAACAACAGTTTAGTACTAGCCCTATTTGTCTATGTCATGTAAAATTCTCTACGTTGCGCAACAAAATAACGGTCGAATACCACTACTTGTCCAGAGAAGAACAGTCTAAGAGATGACTGTGGATAATGTTGAATAGATGCTTTCCTTCTAGTTTACCAATTCAAATATAGGGACGTTTTGCCCAGAAGAGCTCTTGTGTAGCTATGCGTAAAACTACAACAAATCTCTAATTGTTCGTATCATCAGACTTTACTCATAGTAAGCCTTATGGAAAGTAATAGCATGTTGGGGTGGAGGAAAGCTGGATGAAATATCTTGATGATACAGTATTAATTAGAAACTATTTAGCGTAAGAACTAAATACAGGTGTTTTCGCTCTATGTTTACTATTGGTAGAATAACCAAACATACTTTTGGAAAGTTCATATTGCATGAATAACTCTGAAGTTCTGTTAAATATAAGATAGGTGTAATAATTATGTACAGAATATAATGAAATGCTATGACTAGCATGAATAGTTTTATAGAAATTTAAAATGCTAAACGCTTTCTCAGTTGAGTGAGTCCATATAATGAAACATATTTGAGATAGCAGTTCGATTTCAGTTCTTCCATGAAAATAAGTTTCGACAGTTACGCCATAATCTAAAGTCCTTTCGTTAAGTTAGAATGATCAGTGGAATCGTTAAACTCAAGGATCGGACTTTCTCCTAATCACCCGCTTCAGAACGTTTCTATTTTAGGCTTAAAAAGAATATAAGAGAAGTAGGTAGTGCAAGAGACTTGGCCTGTTCATTACACCGATAAATAAGCTTTCTTGTCTAACTCGACAGTTAAGTAAAGTATTGAGTAATTACACGGGAAATAACTAATTTTCCGGACTTTCCAAGCCACTAACGTACCTTCAACTTTACCTACCTTTACTCTGGCCGTCGGGTCCCCGGAGGATTGTACACTCATCTATTGCTCCATAAGGTTGAAATAATTGACGAACGTCATCCTCTGTCTGCTGTTTACTGAGCATGCCCACAAAGAGCTTACGATCCTCTGTAAGAAGATAAATTATATTAAATTAGTACTAGAATTTGCCAATCTCTAATATCTAATACATACTAGAGGGAAGGCAGCTAGTCAACACAACTCACCACCAACTATTGGGCTACTCTCTTACCAACGAATAGCGGAATTGTCCGTCACATTATAACGCCCTCACGATTGAGAAGGCGAGCCTTCTAAAGCGAAACAATTAAATACAGTTTTTCTCACAATTTAACATTATTGTTTGTAGTTAAGCACAAAGCTACACAAAGGGCTATCTATGCTCTGCCCAACAACGAGTATCGAAACATACCGCCGTGCCACTGGGAGGCTTTTAGCATGAAATAAGTGTTTAGGTATGATTCAAATGAGCTTATCATAAAACTCATTTGCAGTTGGGTAAACAAAAGCACTGACGAAAATTATTATTTTGTATATTTACAATTCATTTGCCAGTGCAAAAACTTATTACTGGTAGCAGTAAAATAGAAAACGTTAATCAAAACTTTGAGTACATTTCTTAAATAATTATCATAATTTTTAAAAGGTAATGTTAAATTGTTTAAAATTATAATGATTACTTAAGCATCACTAAGAAGATAAATCTTAAGGTAATGACTACATCTTTTCAAAGTATAAGCTTTACTGCTCAACTAGCATATTTGAAAGCATGGATAAACTTCGAAAATAAATTAACTCAATGGGTTTTGAAAAATAAAAACTAATTCTAAGTTTCACTGCATTCAGTCGATATTATAACTACAGTATAAGTTTGGTTTGGTTTGTTTTGAAATTCGCGCAAAGCTACACGAGGGATATCTGCGCTAGCCGTCCCTAATTTAGCAGTGTAAGACTAGAGGGAAGGCAGCTAGTCATCACCACCCACCGCTAACTCTTGGGCTACTCTTTTACCAACAAACAGTGGGATTGACCGTCACATTATAACGCCTCCATGGCTGAAAGGGCGAGCATGTTTGGTGTGACGGGGATTCAAACCCGCGACCCTCAGATTGCGAGTCGAGCGCCCAAACCTCCTGGCCACGCCGGCCTGCAGTATAAGAATGAGTGCTTTTAATAGTTTGAACTTCTTATACTGTTAAACCTTTTATAATTTCCTCTTATGTAGTCAAAACATGTTTATAGATACTTAATGCAAAAGAAATGGAAGGAAAATATTCTAGTCAACAAAAAACGCCCCCCCCCCGGAGTTTCATCGGTAAGTCTCAGGGTTTTTCATGTTGCAAATCGGGTTTGTATCCCCGCTGTGGGCAGAACACAGACCGCTTGTTGCATAGCTTTGTGCTTTATAGCCAATAAACAAATCATTATAAATAATACTTATTATTTTTTTGTTGAATTGTAAAGTTGGACTATGATCCTCATTCAATTCCATGTAGTCCACAAATACCCATGAGAAGTCAATATATGGAAAGAATAATAAAGTGGAGATTCTTGGATGAAGAAAAATTTATTACGTTATTTTACTAATTCTTTCTGTCCAGTTTGTCCACCCAGTGAGTCGAGCTGTAAATTTATGGACTTACAACGCTAAAATCCAGGGTTCGATTCCTATAGTGAGAAGAGCGCAGATAGTTTATTGTATAGCTTTTCTGTAATACAAACAAACTGTCCAATTTAGCGAAAAAGTCAGTCAAATGCTTAAGGTTGAAATAAATTGTTCTGTATTCACTTATATAAGTAAAAATGACGCTTACTGTGTACGCTAACTAGTAAAGATGTGTCTCTTGACTATTTTAATTTTATAAACGATTAATCTGCAAGACATTTATTGGGTAAATTTCTTTGACCGTCTGTTTATCTACAATGCTAATTGAACGTGACTAGTTTAGCTACTATGAAAATGGTTAGTCACTAAATTTGGGACCCGGCATGGACAGGTGGTTAGGGCGCTTGACTCGCAATCTGAAGGTCGTTGGTTCGAATCCCTGTTCCACCAAACATGCTCGCCCTTTAGCCGTGGGAATGTTATAATGTGACGATCAATCCCATTATTCGTTGGTAAAAAGAACAGCCCAAGAGTTGGCGGTGGGTGATGATGACTAGCTGCCTTTTCCTTAGTCCTCCACTAGTAAGTTAGGAATGACAAGCGCAGGTGTCCCTCGTATAGTTTTATGCAAAATTACAAACAAACCCAAATCACTAACTTTGGTGATTATCTGAGAAAAATGATGAATGTACAAGCTCGTAAAGTGCAACAGGTGCCAAAGTGTCAGAAATGTCTAATTCATTCTAATGTGGTCAAAATCTAAGCATACAAAGAAAAGAAAAATCACATGATAACCAACAACTTGTTAAAATTAACTGTCTTAGATCCAGGCAAGGAAATATAGTTTCATTTGTGTTTGAGCGTAATGTGTAAATAATTAATGACTGGAAGAGTGTAGTTTCATCTGATGAGTTGTGTTTCATTCTTTTCTGGGCTAGCAGTATAGTAGAAATAAGGTGACAACTATATGAGGCCATTATGTAAGTCCGGCAGTGCAAACTGATAGTTGTCATCCATAAGGTGTAATGGTGTGGGAAAGGTTGATTCCTTTAATTCTATGGTAGGGCGAATAACATCTAAGGTATACCTGAAGATTGTTGGCGATAATATCTTCCCCACAGACTTCACCAACATTTTGTTTTTAATTAGCAAGATATTTTTCAATAGAATAGCACAATAATCCATCGTGCTTGTATAATTTTTGACCCCCAAAATAGTAGGATCATAATCTGACTGTGCATTTTTGATATGTACTTGAACGTTGTTTACGTGACAATAATAAATCGACAACATCTACTAAGTAATTGCATACCATACTTTTGGATGACTTGGCTACAATGGAACAAGAGACCTTTTAATATCTTATAGAGTTTATGCCACACCATCTGCAGGATGTTAGCTGAATGCCTGGTTTGTTTCGAATTTCGTGCTACACGAGGGCTATTTGCGCTAGCCGTCCCTAATTTATCAGTGTAAGACTAGAGGGAAGGCAGCTAGTCATCACCACCCACCGCCAAGGAATAGTGGGATTGACCGTTACATTATAATGCCTCCGCGGCTGAAAGGACGAGCATGTTTGGTGGGGGCGGGGATTCGAGCTCACAACCTGCAGATTGCGAGTCGAGCTCCTTAACCACCTGGACATGCCGGATCTATTAAAGTAATCAATCAGAGTATATACCGGAAACGTATTGGCTCTTAAGTTATTCCAGAAGCACTTTCAAAGATTATTCAAATTAAAAAGTTAACACTAGTTATTAAACATATTCAAATCAACAAAATTAACACTAGTTATTAAACATATTCAAATCAACAAAGTTAACACTAGTCATTAAACAAACATTACGAGGTTTATATATATTTCTTGTGAAGCCACTTATTGGAAGTTTTTTTTTTCTCTTTTGACTATTATTTCCAATAACTATGTAAATTTTATCTGAACAGTTTATTACAAGACGGTGCAGCAGACGATAATGATAAACTTTAGCCTATAAAAAGTGTTTTATTTAGATAAATCACCATCAGTTCTTACTGGTTACTTCACATCGGGAGACATTTGTTTAAGAGTTGACATGATTGCCGTCATTGCTATGCATTTATGGTGCTCCATTTTTTTGGCTTGTTAATAATGTAATGACTTTTCTAACAAACGTATATAACGATACACCCTTTCTACCTTTTTCAAAAAACGGCTAGTTTACCTAAATGACGATATGAAAATGTATTTTCTTTTTCTATATTGAACAGTTAGTTCGTCATCATATGTTTACTGCAATGTATAATTTCAAAATACTTTACAGAAGATGGGTTTGAGTTTATTTTGTACGAAGTGCATGGATTAGGTAATCTCACGCTATGAGCAATTTTCTTTTTTTTTCTACTGCTAAATTATTCATATTCCCATCTCACGTCTAAAAGATACTTAAGTAAACTACTCATTTAGACTTTTAAAATGGCTTCTTCTACGTCGTGAAACTCCTTAATACCAGGGAAGCAATAAAATACTTTTAGTGGAAATAATGGACCTTTTATTTCTGAAGTAAAGCATTGGAATGAATAAGCTTTTGATATTCCTTTTTTTATTCTACGATAAATGAAACATTTGGAAGATAGACCTTGTATCAGCGTATACAAAATACATTTTTATTAACAAATATTGAAATAAAATCTTATTTTTACAAATTCAAACGATCAAATAATTTTTAGTTTTACAAAATAACAAAAAGTAGTTTGTCAGATTTTTTTAGAAATTATTTTAAGTTAAGCTTACATCAAGCTGTAGATTTTCTTCAGTTGTTCGTTAACTCATTTTTAAGCTAATAGATGAAGTTTGAATTGTTATTTAAATTCACAATGGAATCCTCGGCTTATAATAACGTATTAAAATCACTCTAACACTACACATCAGAAATTTGCCAACCATCTGCCTTTAAACACACTTGCCATGACCATTTTATTTTATAAATCACATTGGACACCGATTCCAGTTTTTTAGAAATACAAACATACATATTGTTGTCGAATTTTAGCCCAAAGCAACACAATAATCTGTCTACGCTCTGTCTACCACAAGGAATCGATCCCCTTTAGTGTTGCAAATCTGTAAACTTACCGCTGACCCATAGGGCGACCCAAATATACATAATATCAGAAAAATATTTCACCACCCACAATAAGTGCACCTTTGTCACATTCCATAAACTTTGTTTTAATAGACCCGAACATGTTCGACCTAATGTCCTAATCACATTTAACATTAATGACATACATTAATAACAACAAATGCACCTGCACAAAGCTGACTGCTCGAAATTACAAATTAATTATGAATATACCTGTAAAACTACACGCTGACGTAGACACACGTGAATGTAAGTCATAATCAAGATTCGTGTTATTCAAATGCGAAATGACAAGAGAAACCCGTGACTGTATTTAGCGGAAGGTGAGAAAATGGGCTTTTAAAGCTACTATTTCCGGCATCCTGTAATATATGGCAAAC